CATTTCATAGTAGGAAAATATATGGTTCCATTTTAAATTCTCTAAAAAAATTGCAAATCGGCTGATTTTTTCAAACGATGCCATATAGCGGCCACCACGAGATTTAAATCGACTTGATTCGTGATTTATCGGAAGATCTGAAAAAACCCTTCATAATGAGACCAAAATCGCTCAATTCCGTTACACCAAACTGTAGTAATAAGAGTTTCTCCAGAGTACTATTCATCCTTCCCTCCCTCTTTCATTTAAAGAGCTAGCGCATTTTTTTTTTGGTCGAAATGATTGGAAATCAACTCGAGAACATGAAAAAGGTGTTCCTGATGTGTCTTGGTATATAAAAATTTCATGAAAACCCGTTTTTTAAGTTAGCCAATGCAATTATGCCCTCTAGCAGCTGTCCTGGAAACTTGAAAATAATTTCCAGAAATGTTTCTTGGCCACTATTATCATAAATATTTTTTTCCGAAACCTGTGCGGCAGATTGTTTCCGAGATACAGCCGGCGTCCTTTCTTAGTGGTATACCCGGTACTACACTGTGTAGGGTGTCGTGGATTAGAGCCTAATCATTGAGATATCGTAAACCCTAATAGATACAGGGTCGGTTAAATAGGTTAAATTATGGCAAAGATATACGCAATTTTATGTCTCCCAAAATGTTGTTTCGAAAATTGGAAACTTCCGGGATATCCGAATAAAACCGAAATGTCCTGAAACCTTCACTTTGCTTTTTTCAACTAATAACAATATGAATAAATCGATCAAAATGAATGACCTTTTATGATGATGGTCACTTTATCTTTCCTACAAGCTGGCGTTTTTCAAATGTGGAATCCGACGTTTCATCAACACTGGAATTGAAAAAACGACGAAAACCTTCCCTTTCTTGACCTCTTTGTTTCCTTGCCAAATGTTTACTGCTGACTGACCCATACAGATGTCATCATTCCTTATTGACAGTGATTGGAAATTTTCTGAATTTTCAGTATGTTGTACACTGCACAGTGTGCCTGGAATTAAAGCCTCATCATTGAGATATCTTGAATCGTAAGAGATACAGGGTTGGTTAAAAGGGTTGAATTATGGCAAAGATATATGCCCAATTTCTATGTTATTTCGAAAATTGGAATGTTTCGCTATATCTGGGAAAAAAAGAAATGTCCTTAAACCTTTATTTTGCTTTTTTTAAGGTTTATGAAGAAGTCAATCGAAATGAATGACATTTTATGATGATGTCGCTTTATCTTTCCTACGAGTTGGCGTTTCTCAAATTTGTAATCTGACGTTTCATCATTATATTATTTTTTTTACTGAATACGGACCTGGATTATTTATTCCCAAGTAGCACACATATATTGGGACAATATCGGTGCAATATTACGAAAATATCGGCAAAATATTGTGAAAGTAATATTGGCAAGAAAAAAAAAAGTGAACATTCGGCGATATTGGTACAATATCAGTTTCCAAATGTGGGTAGAATATTCTCATATCAATATTGGTTGAATATTCGTGGAGTTATATTGGTCACAAGATTTAATATCAATATTGGCGAGAAATTAATGGTTAACATTCGGCAATATTATATGGAAATATGTGAATCATTGAAAATCATCATGAAGCTATGTTGTTTCGAAAATATTGGTAGAATATTGTCATACCAATATTGCTGGAATATTATAGTAATATACTGGTGCAATATTATTGGTTGGAAATATTTGTACATTATTGAAAATCATTATGTAGCTATGTTGTCTTCGAAATATTGGTGGAATATTTTCATATCAATATTTGCGAGTTGTTCGCAATAGGAATAATCACAAAGGTCAGTTCAGCCGAAGTGCAATGGGAGGGCCTTGCCTTGGGGAAGCCGCCTTATCGATCCTACTCCAGGTAATAATGCTTTACAATCGTCTAGAGCCAATATTTATATTCTCTCGTCTGATCGGCAATGGGAGTACGTTACGAATCATTTATAGCGCCATCTATCGACATCGGTTTGGGAGTGCATGCTATGGAATTGATATCGAAATTTCGATATCGATATGTCTTCTCAAAACAATATGTGAACAATATTGCTCACATGATATAGTGAATCAGATATCAGTCAATATAAGATGATATTACTTTCTGAATATTCCTGGAAAACTATTCAACCGATATGCAATTGAACTCGGAAATGGAATATTGTTTTTCTCTTCCATGACTGATATAAGATATTAATTGAATTGCCGTTATTGATATTCATATTTGAAACAATATGCATTCCATGTCTTTCGCATGATATAGTTGAAACGATATCAATCAATTTGGGTGAATATGATGTTTTGGATATTGTCGAATAAACAATATTCAGCCGTCGAACTCGAATATACAATTTTGCATAACCGCTTCAGAATCGACATGGGGAGAATGTTCAGATTGCGATATTGGTTATAATTGTTGGAAACAATATGTATACGATATCTTCCGCGTGATATAGTTGAAATGGTATCAATCAATATAGGTGAATTCGATGTGCCGACTATTGTTGAAACAATCTTCTACCAATGTGCCGTCGAACTCGAACATACAATATTTCATAACCGCTCCAGAATTGACATGGGGGGAATGTTCAAATTGCTATATTGGTTATAATTGTTGGAAACAATATGTATTCGATACCTTCCCCATGATATGGATGAAATGATATCGATCAACATAGGCGAATATGATGTTTCGAATATTGTTGAAACAATATTCAACCAATATGCCATCGAACTTCAACATACAATATTGCATAACCGCTTCAGAATCGACATGAGGAGAATATTGAAATCACGATATTGGTTATAAATGTAAGAAACAAAATGAATACGATATCTTCCGCATGATATAGATGAAATGATATCAATCAATATAGGTGAATATGATGTTTCAAATATTGTTGAAACAATATCCAACCAATATGCCGTTTAACTTGAATATACAATATTGCATAACCGCTTCAGAATCGACATGGGGAGAATGTTCAAATTGCGATATTGGTGATTGATGTCGGGAACAATATGTATACGATGTTGTTGTATCGACATTTGTAGAACAATATTATATAACATTTATGAATATGTTTTTCAACACATTGTTAACGAATTTTACAACCAATATTGCTTCAATATTGTAGCTGACAATCCATATCCAGCTCAGGTTGAACCAATATTCCACCAATATTATCATTTCAATATTGTATGTCCGATATACTCTCATATTGAACCTATATTATGTTTCACATGTACGATATATCTATATCGGCCCAATATGAAATCGGGTTCCAGCCAATATGATGTGCTACCTGGGTTTAATTTTTCATTTTTTCTTACCTTGGAATAGCCCAAAAGCTAAGAGCTATCACACATTTTTATTTTCATGTTTCATTTACAAAAATCAACAGTTTCAGTATTGAATATTGTCTGTAGGTTGATCGAGAGGAGGTGTTAGATTCATTTTACTTGATTATTTGGGGTATTTGGAGAAATCAATCGAAATGAATGCCATCGTATTGCAGGGAAAAAATGGCAATGTGAATGTGCTTTTGATTTTGATTTTCTCCAACAAATTACGCAAAAAAAAATAAAAAGGATTCACTCAAATTTCTCCGGAAATTCTGGGAATTTGAAATATTTCTCGACGGAAAATCTTTAGTCACATAAATGCGCAACTTTACCCCAATGATACAGGGTATGTTACGACAAGCTCACACTATCTCATCTATATCAAGAATCAGTCGAAAGAAATACGTGCAGTGTTGCCGCTTCAACCATAAGTAGCAACAACTTTGTTATTTCAAATAAAATACCCTGTATTTCATTGCATCTTTAGATTCTCCATGAAGAGGTGATTTCATCGATACATCAAACTTGGTGTCTATTGGAAATGATTACAGTTAGATTACAGAGATTTAGGGTGTTCAAAATCGAGATTTTTCAACTTTAGGATTCGTTTGTGTCGAAACTATTCATTATCGAGCGAAACGGCTCACATATGTTCCTATCTCAACTTTTCATTTACTATTTGCTGATATTAAATCGAAACGGATAAATACAGGGTGATCAGAATTCTGAATCTTGAACCATCCTGTATCTGTTCCTAGAAGTAATCTTGCTGAAGTTGGGCCATTGATGATATCTACTACAAATCCACGGTAACCTCAGGAGATGTTTTGAATAGTAATTCCATTTGCAAACATTATTCAACACATGGCAAAATTGGAATTTTTGTGAGTTGAAATGTTTCTTTCTTCAGTAGACCGATTAGCACATATTGCTTTTGTCCAGTTTTTGTGCTGAGATTGTCCATTGCCATTGCAAATTTATCAGTTTCCTTCTAATTCATCGATAGGTGAGATGGTTGGGTGATTTTGATATCCTACAGAATTTTTTTTTTCTTATGTTCTGGTTCCCACGAAGAGGTATATCCTGTAATGTTCAGAGAACATCGTGAGAACCAAGGAAAATATGGTAGGAATTGTTGTTGTTCTTGAAAAGTAAGTGAGTTTGTGAGTGAGGCATCACCCACGAGACGAATTGCCCTTTTTTGGACAGAATCCATCAGTTTCAGGGTATATTTGGGTGACGCACTTCAAATATGGAAACAGTATTCCAGGACAGGTCGGATCTGTGTCACAAGTTTGATGAAAGACTTCTTTGTAGCTATTATACTATCCGTAAGACAGTATTATTTCAATCACATACACGTAAATGTAATGATGATTCAACAATGATATTTGATATTCGATATTTTCTGTGATAAGTTCGAGAATTAACACAATAAACACGAATGAATCACAGGAATAAAATGTATGCAAAACGCACAAAATATGTAAACAAAGTGCCCTGATAATCCCGCCACCTTGTTTTTGATACAGCGCCCTCAACGGTCGATCACCTTGCCTATTGTTGACTGACTGAATGTCAGAATTGATAATGGTCGATGACAATTCTAATTTATTGTATTGCATTTTCAGTTTTTGGAGTTGACTCGCCCTTAGGACTATTTCCGGCCGGGCTAGACAGTTGCAGGAACCCTTTATTTGACATGTCAGACCCTAGGACGACGCCTGACCCTCAGATGTTCGTCAAAAAGAAAAGTAAGTTTCGGAATGATATCACGATTAACCGTTCATTTTTATTGTTCCACCTCACCACCAAGGTTGACGCCAGCTCATCAACACACAACTTACAAAATCCCATTTCCAGAATACCCAACTTATCAACGGACTCATTTCACTAACACCCAACTCATCAACGACTCAACTTATATACGAACCAACTCATCAACAGCTCAACTCTCCAATGTGCTAACTCATCAACACTAACTGACCAACAATTCAACTGATCAACTACCCACCTCATCGATGCACCAATTTCATCAATCTTCAACTTAGCAACGAACAAACTCATCAACAATCCATTTGATCAACGCACCCATTTCCTGAATGCCCAACTCATAAGTGACCAAAATCTTCAACGTATCCATTTCATCAACACCCGACTTATCAATGATCCAACTGGTCAACGACCCAACTCATCAACAACCTAACTCATTAACGATCTAAGTCATCAACGTACTTATTTCATCTACACCCAACTCATCAATGACCATATTCATCAACGTATCCATTTCATCAACACCCGACTCGTCAACGATTCAACTGGCACCCAACTCATCCACAACCTGATTCATGAACGATCTAACTCATCAACGTACGTATTTCATATACACTCAACAAATCAACGTTCCAACCTATGAACGACCCATTTCAAATGATGAGTCATTTCATCAAAAACTCTACTCATCATCGATCATACTCATCAACTAGGTACCCAACTCATCAACGACCCAACTCCTCAATAGCTGAAATCATTAACGATCCAAATCATCAAAGTGCTAACTCATCAAAGTTTCAAGTTCATCAACGATTTGAATCATCAACGACACAAATCATAAATGACCAAACTCATCAACGACCCAACACATCAACGATCCAACTCATCAACGATCCAACTCATCAACGATCCAACTCATCAACAATCCAATTCATCAACGGTCCAACTCTTCAACGATCTAACTCATAATTCTGAATAATCTTGGAAGCCTCCTAAAACCCACCATATCTGTTATAAAGATGACGATGATGATGATGATGATAATAACTATTGATCCTGTTTATTTGATGTCGTCTCGTATACTTTTGTAATATACTTCAAGGATGTCATTTGAAAGTCCCAGATAATACATTTCTTCGAGAGTCCGAGAACAATGCCCGCAGGACATGGTGGTGCTTTTGGGGTTTCTCAATAAAATCTCTTTGTTTCAGCTGAGTTAATGCTAAATCAATTCTGCTATCTTGGGCCATATGATTTTAGTATGATGAGTTGTGATTTGATACGTTGATGAATTTGGCTGTTGATGATTTGGGTAGATGGAGAGTTGGGTGTTGATGAGTTGGGTCGTTGCTAAGTTGGGTGTTGATCTAGTTTGCGCGTTGATGATTTGGGTCGTTGATGAATTGGGTCGTTGATGAATATTGACCGTTAATAAAATGGGAATTGGTGAGTTGTCTGTTGATAAGCTTGGTTGACCCGCATCACCATACATACATATATACAACACGCGAGTTGATGAACAATGCCTATTATCATTATCCATAATAAGTTTTGTATTGACTCTTGTTAGTTGATGGATATGCATGGTGAATGCAAAATACCTACTTCACCAAGAAGGATAAGATTTCCCCAAACTTTCAGTAACACGAGTTTTCTCGCTAAAACCGCAACATATCGTTAGATTATCTCTTTAAGTATATTTATGTAATTTAATTTCATTCAACGTTATTGTCACATAACAAGATACAAATGTTGCACTTTTAACGAGTAACACATATTTTTCACCCATCCAACGTTAAAATCGTTGAATCAACGTACAAGTGCCTGCTGTGAATGAACCAATAACCCTGACTATAAACATACAAAAACAATCCCATAAGTTCTTTGCCGCCCTCTAGTATACAATGAAATGGCGCTCCTGGCTTAACATCGATATTTTCTAGTGGGCAGACCCAAAGGGCAGCACTCCGCCCCGAGAGGCGGCCCGCCTCGCTCCTGGACCAACGCCGAACTAACCGAAGCCCTGCAGCACGTCTGGAACAAAAAGATGACCACCAGCCAAGCGTCCAGGATCTTCGGCATCCCCTACAACTCCCTGTTGATGTACGTGCGCGGCAAGTACGGCAAGAGCCTCAAGCTCGAGCAGCTGCGCAAAGACTGCATCGGCGTGGGCGGAGCTACTACCCCCACCATGGACCTGTTGGGCGTGGCCAACAACAACAACAAATCGGAGCGCGACCAGGAGCAATCGCTGCCCAACACAAGGCCACCCAGCGCGGAGGGGCAGCCTTCCGTGTTCAACCCCTTCTCTCACAGCTTCTACCCTGATTTTGGGGCGGGATTCCCGCTGCCCGTCAGCATGATCCACCTGTTGCCGCAGAACGAGAAGCATCTGGAGCAGTTCGGGCAGCAACAGGTGATGGAAGATGAATGCAAAGGCTCTAAGGATATGGATCATATGGATCATGATCATGAGATGTTCAGAGCGGGGATGGGGATTGAGGATAAGAGGGAGATGGTGCAGCAGAGCGGGCAGAATTGAGGTGGGGAAGGAGTTGGGTGGTTTGGTCGGTAACAAACTGGGGTTCGGCCTGGTTGAATGATGGTCCAATGGTATAAGTGAAAGATTTTGTTTTAATGTGAAAAAATGTCACCCTAAGGTATGAGTGTGGTTTCAGGTATACAGATAGATATAGAGCATGTGATTGGCAACATAGCAAAAGAACCTGATTTGGCCATCGTACGTCTGGCCAATAACACAGTGGAATTCAACTGCTATTCTCCGTAACTGCCATGTTGCCAAATGCCATCATCCTTTCTTAATATGTAACGATCCGATAAAAAATCTGAATATTGGTGAGCTCAATAAGGTCTCAGAATTTCCTGTGGTAGAGGATGATACCAGGCATCTGGCAGCAATTTGAACGTAAAAAATATTGCCACAAAATGATTATTTACGAATTTTTCGATTCCTTTCCATCCATCAAAATGATTTTAGGAGGCAATGAGATAGGTTGAATAATCCCATTTGGTCATTGAGTGTATCTTCGGAAATTTGAAAATCTTCGCTATCTCTCTCGTTTTAGCGCATTACAAAATTGCAATTTGTGTGACAAACATACTTTACATAGTGAATCCCCAACAGAGCTTGGCCTCTATACTGATTTTTCCATAATACATTATAGCATTTTCAGAATTATATTAGTGAGTGACTCTGTCTCCACATTTCAGCGTAGCGCTACTACTGAGTACCGCCATCTGGTGGTGGAAACATGAACTAGTGATGCCGTGACGGCCTAGGTTCACTACTTTTCAGTTTTAAAAAAAAATCAAGGAAATGATAACTCTAAATAGGGCCTATGATCACTTTTGTGTAGATTTATCGTATCTGTTCATTTGAATTGATGTATTCTGATTGTAAAATCAGGAGCAATCGAAAAAAATCGCAAAAAATGTCGAAGTAAGGCTCAAGTTGCTGATAAATGTCTGACGTAGCCTCTTATTACCTCTCGAAATGTTGAGACGTTGACACCAATATATATCTGTATCCACAATTATACCTTAGAGTAAAACTATTTGCGTCTCAAAATCCTGTTTTTGGTGGACTATGAAGCAGAGTTTTGGAGTTTGGTGTATCATGCTCGTGTTGAGCTACTCCAGCAGTCAGAAAAATAGTTGATACATTATTGTCACCTTCTGGTGCAATTTTTCAGTTTTCATATATTATACCTCTGTGCGATTTGGCACTTCATGAAGTGTCTAATTGATCCAAACATTTTTCACTCATTTTAGTATTACAAATTCAAATGTTATCAGAAAAAACAGAAATACACATCAGAATTTTTTAGTGGTAGTTCATTTTGCTTCTGGTACTAGTACATTGGACGAATTGATATACACAAGAAGTGGCCGAATCGAAATCTTTCAAGGATCAATTTTTTTCTAGAACTAATTAGACAAAGACTCATTTCGGTGCCTAAGTAAACATTTTTCGAGGAACCTAATGAATTGGAAATGTTTTCATGAAAACAGAAATGTTTCACAATATTTTTCGAGAATTCACATTTACGAAATATATACTACTTGTGACAATGATAGATTACATGCATTTTTCGTCGTTGAGTTTGACATAGAAATTGACTCAGATGCTTCAACAATCAGTGTTTTTCATCTAGGTTTTGAATAGGAGTTATCCTTTAAAATTTTCAAATTTGACTCATTCTGTTCAGAGACTTTTCGTAGCTTCTACACAGCTCGGAATTCAAAATAAAAGATAGTTATCATGCAATGAAGTTGACATAAGTGAAAAGTCTCCGAAACAAATATTTTGTCTCGAAGATATGGCTGGAAAACTTCAAAACGGAACACTTTCTAGATATTATTATTGCTGCATTGAATGGAAATATTAGTATTTCGTGTTTCCACGGATCGATATACAGCACAAAAACAAAGTATTTCTCATTCAACCAAATTAATTGTATCTAAATCTCACGAGATCCAACATGGGGGCATAAATACTCGAACGTGTTTGCCAAGCTTCAAAACTCTAGGTCAGATATCTCTATATTCAGCAAACATTTTGCTTATATGATTGGGCTATACAATGTGTTCGATGTCATATACAAAACGAAGACTGAAAAATCACAACCACCACTGAGTCGAATCAGGTGGAAAAGCAGAGTAATTATGATTTTCTCTTGTACCTATAATAAATTCCCGACGATCGAGAAACGTTCTGAACCAGTTTGTTCCGGTTCCAGAGCTATGGGGCAAATACGGGGCTACCTGAAATTGATTTTCATCATAACAATCGATGAATGTCAATGCAAAAAACTCTCAGTTGTTATGTTATGATTTATGTACTGATATTATGTGGTCACAAGAACATAGTATTGTTGTTTAAATGTATAAAATAGGCTAAGCTGTCGTGCTTCCTTATTATTAAATTAATTTTTTCCGGTATTATCGATGAGAATTCGCCAAATTTCGGTGTGATCAAGGAAATGTAAATACTTAATGTTATAATTCAACCGGAATTTCAACGTTATAAGACTGATTTATCTTATTGCCAAGGTTCCAACACTGGATAACTAATAACTATAACTTTCATTTACCGATTACTACATATACAGTTCCTGATATTTACAGATTTTTACCAAATATTTACCCAATATTCTACAGATATATACAATGCATACGTTTAGTTCCTCATTTTTTACCTAAAACAGAACTACAATAGTTGACATACTTCGGAAACAGTGAATTGGACAAGGACTTGAATCAAAACATATCAAACATGTTTTTTCCTAGTGAGAAACTGATTTTTTCTGCATGATTTCCAACCGGAATTTCTATGAAAATCATAAAGATATGCATGAAACTACAAAGAGATCAGATGATGCATGGTAATCAACAACAACAAACAACAAAATCCTATTATTTATTTTCATTTCTCAAGTCAAAATTGAGTTTTTATAATTTCATTAAGTTTACCAAGAATCGCCAAGCTCATAAAAGACGGGAAGAACTATGATTTTTACATCCAAAATTATCTTCTTTACTGAAAACCCACATTTTTATCAAATTAATAAGGGTTATCGAGATTCTCACTCGGACATTTTAAAGAAAACTTTTTTTCAAACTTTCTTACATCTATATCATTATAAGCAGAAACGAGAAAGTTTCTAACTAATGTCGTTGAAAAACTGTCAGTAGGTAGCTATTATGACCTATTTGAAGTTTGAGAGATAAAAACTGACACACCTTATATACAGCGTGTCTCACTTTGAACGGCCCCCTCTATATCTCAGTTATTAGTAATGCTATTCCAACAAAATTTGGTGTGGTATGAAGTTAACCATCAATATGATCAGTTTTACAGAGATGCACATCATTTTGGACAGTGCCGTGCGTTTTCATTGAACTAAAAAGGGGTCGATTCTTGATAAAATCTATTAGGCATTTTTTTACAGGAAATCTAACCTCATATTATTGTTCCTCATGCTTTCGAACCCCCATATGCAAAAAAATCATCTAATTCCGAATCACCAGGATTGGCTTAATTTTTTCATTTTCAGTCTCGAATTAATAGTGTCTTCAAATCAACTACGAATTTTGGAACGTTCAATGGCTCCGGTAGGTGGAAAAAAATGATTTGGAACGAAATACAAGTTCTACTTTTTCATGTTGAACCCACTGTTTCCGAGGAAATAATTATTAAGTTCGCAAAAAAGCTGTTTAGATGTGCCTGTTTTTCTGAAACCCTTCATAGGCATCTTATGAAAATCCATATATGTGGGTTTGAAACCATGAAGTACAATATTATGAGGTCAGTTTTCCAGTGAAAAAATGCCTAATATGATTTAATAAAAAACTGACCCCTATTCATTTCAATAAAAATGCACGGCACTGTCTAAAATGATGTTTGTCTCTGAAGAACTGGTCATATTGATGATTATTCATACCGAAACAAATTTGGTGGAGATCGCACGACTGATAGCTGAGATATAGAGGAGGGGTTGTTTGAAATGAGACACGCTGTATATTCTAGGGGGGTCTGTGGCCCAACATTTATTTTTCATCTGAGAAGAATGTATTCACATAACCTCATCATAACTCATGTCCAGGACACAAATAATCAAAATGTGCTCATCTTGTCTCATAATGGTCTATACAGTGTGTCCATTTAGTGCGTAATTCTTCGATATCTCGAAATCCATTATCACTAGAGAAAAAATCTTGGAAACAAATTTCTTCCGTTATTGAAGGTTCCATTTTAAAAATATTCTCAACAATACTGGGTGTTTTATGAAAGCGGAAGGACTCGGAGACGAGTTTTTTTCAAATCGAACATCCAGTATTTTTTATTCAAAATTCATTTCGTTACAGTTTAGCTCTACATCGCTGTGAAAAAAATTGGATTCGGTTGAGGCGTTGCCAAGTTATAATTGATAAACCCATTTTTACTACTATTGAAGGGTCATGTTGAATTGGGTATGGTATATTCATTTATTATAATTTTGAAAAGATTTTTTGCATACAGTGGTAGCAAGGTCTCACGTACACCAATTCAGTAATTTTGCGAGATTATCCTCTACAGGGTGTTGAAGTTCACACTCTGAATATTGTAAGATTCAGACGACGTTCACTAGAAATTTTCAAATGGAACACCCTGTATTTTTCATCACAGATTCATTTCGACATCATTCGCCTTTTCATCACTGAAAAAAAAATTGAAATCGGTTGCGGGGTTTTCAAGTTATGAGTAATTTCCTTATGTTCATCACTATCTCAGGGCAACTTATGAGACATGGTTCCGTTATTTGATTTGATTGTGGGAATATTGCTTGCCACATGACATTCGAGGTTCTACATAGATCATTCAGGTATCCTTGCGATATAAGCATTGTCAAAATGTGAATCAAACATGCCAAAAGCAAAATGCCTGCCTTTAAAACAACTTCTACAATACAAACAATGGAGATTTGAATTACGAGAATAAGAACAATTTTTTGAAATTTGGACCACTTTTATTGTCGTTAT